ATAATAATAATAATAATAATAATTTTATAATATAACATTTACGGATATCATAAAAATGGGAGCGAGAGACATCTATAACCGAAATCGGCAATTACTTAGTTGCCAACCCAATAGCATTGCATAAGTTTTTGACAAGATATTGTAGGCGACATTTTAATTTGTCTCAATATCGCCCGTAATATTGCATAAAACAATCGTACAGTGACGATTAAGTAGAACAAAATGGCCTGGAATTTTCATTACTTAAATGACGTGTCTTTACCGTTCGTGTTCGTGTAGTTCATTAGCCAACGAATTTCGTTGAACCAATATAGATGAATTAAAAAAATTTAGCAACGCAATTTTACTACTGCCGCGGCTGCGATCCGATCACAAATATTATCTTAACCAGCGGTAGCGGTTGTCCCGCAAATACAGCTCGGTAAAGCGGCATTAATAAAGCTTTAACGAAGTTTAAATTGGGTTCGTACCCGCTAATCGCAAAACTGCTGGAAAACTGAAGCTCTTTCGACCCTGAACTAAATTGCGTTCACATTCGAGCCGATAATTCGCCAAATCGGATAACTCGCTTCATCGCTTTTGAAAAGTCGCTCTATAAAATACAAAGTCAAGCAAAACATTCCAAACATACATATTTCGTACACATTTCATACACACATGTACATACGTAACAACAAATTATCTATTGCTCCGCAGCCAACAAAATTTGTGTTACAAGAAATATTATAAATAATATATTAGAAATATTAGAAACATATTATAAATATTATAAATATAATATTTCAAATATAAAAGAAAAAAAACGACTCGATTGAAACGCCTTCGCACAAACATTTAAAAATAATTCCAGAGATCAGAGTGAACCGACTCGATCTGCAAACGGCTTATTCGAACTAACAGTTTACCGCGCTTCGATAAAAAAGAAAAGATACGTAATCAATCCGTAGCGTCTCTCCGCGGACTCGCCTCGAACTGATCGACTTAATCGCCTCGTGAAAAACCGCTCAATAAAACCGTCTATTTATCCGCGTTGCCGACATACCTGCCGTCAAAGTTTCGCGACGTCTCCGCGGGATGTCGACACGGTCACCGCGATGAAAA